GTAAGTCCGACATGGTCGTAAGTCCGACATAGATATAAAAAAAAAAAAAAAATAATGGATACAGTACAGTGAAAGTAATAAATAATAAGGAATGGATACAGTGTGACTGAGCACTTAACCTTTAATGTAGTCAGCTGAATGCACATGGGGCCCCCATAATTTTCTAATTATACATGGAGACTACATTAACTGGAAACGTTTCGGTATAGAAAATGCGTGTGTCATTTAAAAATTTATTTATTTTTTTTTTTATCTATATCTGAGGCGGTCGTAAGTCCCGACGGTCGTAAGTCCACGTAGTCCTAAGTCGGGGTCTAGGTGTATATATATACAGTAGTACCCCGCTTAACGCGGTCAATAAAACCCACAGGGTACCGTGTTAAGTGAAAACCGCGCTAAGTGAACAACAGAACATATGGGATTAATTCCAATAAAAACTGGCCCGATCCCCAAACTCCACTTTTTCACAATACCTATGTTCTAGTAAAAATAACATCTTAATTTTATGATGGTACATGCACACAATTAATACTTAAGAGAAATACAGTCGCCAAGTTAATGTCCATTCAAATAACGGACTCGACTCCCTCCCCCTCTTCTCACACTACACTGCTGGCTCTTCCCTCTCTGAGAAATTTTTGGGGGAAAACCACTAAATTTTAATAAATAATACCTCAAACTAAAGTTAGGATAATACAATTGACATTGCTGGATTCCTTGTAAGACCAGGAATATTTTGAATATAAATGTCATATATTTTTCACAAAAGATAACATATTTACTCAGATTAAACATTACATCTATAATTTGTATGTCTAATGCAAAATCTATGATGTTTATATTCAAAATGATCATCAAATTATAAGAATTCCAGCAATGTAAATTATATTCTGACCGGGTAATTTGTATGAATTTTATGAGCTAAAACAAAATATCTTCAGTTAATAAAAAAAAAAAAAAATTCTTCACACGGTAACAGATGGTCGGTCGGTCCCTCCCTCTCCCCCCACCCCCCACCAACCGTCCCTACCAGATGTGTGGGAAAATCAGAATATTTACCTTTTTAGTAATAAATAATACCTCAAACTAAAGTTAGGATAATATAATTGACATTGCTGGATTCCTTGTAAGCCCAGGAATATTTTGAATACAAATGTCATATATTTTGCACAAAAAATAACATATTTACTCAGAGTAAACATTATATCTAAAATTTGCATGTCTAATGCAAAATCTATGATGTTTATATTCAAAATGATCATCATATTGTAAGAATTCCAGCAATGTAAATTATATTCTGGCCGGGTAATTTGTATGAATTTTATGAGCTAAAACAGGCAGTCAGGCAGGGTGGCGGGTGGGGCGAATCTAAAAATAGCTCTCGAGCCGGACACTCACAGCGTATACGTGGAAAAAACCCGCGTTAAGTGAAAGTTCGGCTGTGGCGAGGCACCGCGTATACGGTAAAACGCGCTAAGCGAAACCGCGTTAAGCGGGGTAATACTATATATGTGTGTACAGTCAACCCTCAATTTACGCGGTCCCACATTCTGCGTTTCCACGTTTACGCGGTGCCCTGCCAGAACCCAGGATGCTCACATTCCGCGGTGGGTGTACCCCTTTACACGGTGAAGTATAATTTTTTTATTTAGCTCATAAAATTCATACAAATTATCCGGCCAGAATATAATTTACATTGCTGGAATTCTTACAATTTGATGATCATTTTGAATATAAACATCATAGATTTTGCATTAGACATACAAATTTTAGATATAATGTTTACTCTTGAGTAAATATGTTATCTTTTGTGCAAAATGTATGATATTTATATTCAAAATATTCCTGGTCTTACAAGGAATCCAGCAATGTCAATTATATTATCCTAACTTTAGTCTGATTTATTATTTATTACTAAAAAGGTAAACAGTCTGGTATTCCCACACATTTATCTAGTAGGGACGTTGGTGGGGGGTGGGGGGGAGGGAGGGAGGGACCGGCGACCGACCATCTGTTACCGTGTGAAGAATATTTTTTTTTTATTAACTGAAGATTTTTATTTTAGCTCATAAAATTCATACAAATTACCCGGCCAGAATATAATTTACATTGCTGGAATTCTTACAATTTGATGATCATTTTGAATATAAACATCATATAATTTGCATTAGACATAAAATTTTTAGATATAATGTTCACTCTGAGTATGTTATCTTTTGTGCAAAATATATGACGTTTATATTCAAAATATTCCTGGTCTTACAAGGAATCCAGCAATGTCAATTATATTATCCTAACTTTAATCTGAGGTATTATTTAATACAAAATGTTAAAATTTATTTTTTTCACCCACTCTTTCTCTTGAAGGGAGGATTGGTGGGGGGTGGGGGGGAGGGTTGGGACTGACCGCGCGGTTGGAAGAGGGGGGGAGGCAAGGTGGGGTACTTTGATTGACAGATAGTGTCGTAAAGAATATTTTTTTTTTATTAACTGAAGATATTTGTTTTAGCTCATAAAATTCATACAAATTACCCGGCCAGAATATAATCTACATTGCTGGAATTCTTACAATTTGATGATCATTTTGAGTATAAACATCATAGATTTTGCATTAGACATACAAATTATAGATGTAATGTTTAATCTGAGTAAATATGTTATCTTTTGTGAAAAATATATGACATTTATATTCAAAATATTCCTGGTCTTACAAGGAATCCAGCAATGTCAATTATATTATCCTAACTTTAGTTTGAGGTATTATTTATTACTATACCTGGTTTTCCCCCCAAAATTTCTCAGAGGGAAGAGCCAGCAGTGTAGTGTGAGAAGAGGGGGAGGGAGTCGTGTCCATTATTTGAATGGACATTAACTTGGCGACTGTATTTCTCTATTTCTCTTAAGTATTAATTGTGTGCATGTACCATCATAAAATTAAGATGTTATTTTTACTGCAACATAGTTATGTGTCGTCAAAAAGTGGAGTTTGGGGATCGGCCTGGACTCCATTTCAATTAATCCCATATGTTATGTTATTCACTTTACGCGTTTCTCGCTTTCCACGGTACCCTGTGGGTTACATTAACCGCGTAAAGTGAGGGTTAACTGTATATATATATATATATATATATATATATATATATATATATATGTATGTGTATGTATGTATGTATGTATGTATGTATGTGTATGTATGTATGTATGTGTATATATATATATATATATATATATATATATATATATATATATATATATATATATATATATATATATATATATATATATATATATACAGTATATACATACATACACAGTGACCCCTCCGTTAACGAACTCAATCCGTTCCAGAAGGTCGTTCGTTAACCGAAAAGTTCGTTAACCGAAACCATTGTTTCAATGGGTTTTTGGGTAATTGGTTCAAGCTCACCGAAAATTTCCTAAATTCAACAAAAATGGTAGAAAAGTTCACTTACTTTGAGGTGTGTATGTAGAAGACTCCTGGATGATGATGATGATGATGGGATTTAGAATGGGGGTGGAGGAGAAGGAAGAAGATAAGGCATTGGGGTGGAAGAGAAGTCACCCCATGGCGCCATTTCACCCATAAAATTTTAGCTCTCTTGGTGTAATTCAGGATTATTTTCTTTAAATCAACACTGCACTGCATTATATATTGTCAATGTGTAAAATATATTTCAAAATGACCAATAATTTGCTTGGAAACACCGAAAAAAAGCGTTTAGTTGAAGAGAGTCTCAAGCAAGATGTTACCTCCAGTGAAAACAGAGAGAGACTAACTCCTGTTTGCTGTGTTAAGAGGCTGGATGCCGTGCATTAAACTAGTCACTTTACCTTCAATTATGTTAAAAAATTGTTAAAATGACTAAAAAATTTAATATTAAACTTTTAAAATTATTGAATAGTATAAACTTCTTGATATTTACTAAAATAGTAAGGAATTTAAGCCCTAGAACCGGTTAATGTATTGGCGGACTGATACTAAAGCTGGTTGCCCGGTCAGTGCAAGCGAAAACATGTTGAATCGGTTCGTAAGAACTTCGTTAACGAATTTTTTTAGATTAACCGAATTGAAGATCCTTATAGGCAGTTAGTTAATCGAAATTTAAGTTAACAGGTGTTAGATTAAGAGTTCACTGTGTAAATATATATATATATATATATATATATATATATATATATATATATATATATATATATATATATATATATATATATATATATATATATATATATATATATATATATATATATATATATATATATATATATATATATATATATATATATATATATATATATATATATATATATATATATATATATATATATATATATATATATATATATATCTACAAAAAAAATTACTTTTACTTATAAAATGCTCAAAAGGTCATGAGAAATGTTTAGTATAAGTGAAAAGATTGAAAACTGCTAAAATCTTTAGCGAGAGCTTCAGAGTTTAGAGAAAGCTATGAAATTTCATGAGAAGCGCAAGCATCACTTTGTGTAAAGGCATGATCCAAGGAATAAGTCAGAGAGCATCAATACATATGACCTTCAGCAGCAGCTTCTGCAACAGAGGAGACATAGGTGGAGAATTTCATGGTTATGGATGTACACAAGTACTGCAATATGTACTGTAGTTCTATTTTGTAAACATCAATGGTGCCTTTTTTGGATAATGTTACAATTACATACACAAAAACAAAGATTTCCTTAAAAAATAAACCAACTATTTCTTCCTTAGAATTAGTAAGAAGACAAAAATAAAGTAACAGTGAAATAGGACATTAGTTTTACTTTAGGCTTTTTATGGCATTTTAAAACTTGTAATTACTGTAATTCAATTTGGGGTCTTACAAATGACAAAAGAATGAAAATGAGCCACAATTTGCTCAACATAAAAACAACACCACAAGAATCATGCATGTGTACACAACCATGAAACTGCCACAAGGAAGGTCAGCTAAGCTACTCACATAGCTGAACAACAGCCAACCTTTATGGCATGGCCAGTTACGCTAGTACAGGAGAGGAAAAATGATTACAAAGATTAGATTTGAATAGTAAAACAAATTACACATAAAATAAAATGACTATCAATGACATGGAAAAATAAAAAGAAAATTTTAGAAGTTAATAATGTTCTGAGTTAAGGGGGAATAATGTTGTGAGTTAAGGGGGAGGGAGCTCAGTGGTTTTCAAAATATTGTATCCCATTGTTTATATAAATTTATATATTAAGCCAACTTTAACTAGTTTTGGGTACTACAGTTTTGGTATAATTAATTATAAATATACATCTTTAACAACTGAGGTATTACAGACCCACAAGCAACAACACAATGGCCAGTATGCACTGTGGAAAAATGAATCAAAGACCAAGTTTTCTGATGAACTGGATATAAGGTTTTTTAGAGAACTTAAATTGGCATCTGAGGCTCCAACACCTTATGTGTACAGTATATACTGTACCAAAATATTGTACAGTCGACCCTCGTTAATTCGGACCCCTTTAATCCGGATTTCGGATAATACGGACAAAATCTGAACGAACTTTTTTTTTTTTTTTTTAAGATTTGTAGGAATATTACCTACGCGGACCTTAAGCTAAAATGCTGGTCCACCCATTGCTGGGATAAAACACCAGCGTCTTTTTGGTCAAATGTAACATCTCCACCACTAGTGTGGGGGGGGGATGCAACTTTTAGCTTCAGACATGAAAAATATTTACCATTTACTGCCAGTAAACAATGGAAATGTAAAATTTGTACCAATTAGTAATGAAAAGTTGTGCAGTTCCTTCAGCAAATGAAGCTCACCAACTTACAATAGGCTAAATTACCTTACAACGTGTTTTCAGTAGTCTATGTTGAAGTTCTTAGCACAGGCTAACTTATCATATCATATACGGTATCACAGTTCTCATTGATCTACAAAAAATACCGGTAATAAAAACCTTTTTGATATTTCACACTTAATATAATACCCGGTAATCTACTTCAACCTCCTATTGTTTACAACGACACATGACGCACCACCAGCTGTTGAGTATCAGCTACACGGTACACGTGTTTTTCGAATCATTTTCAGTTAAAAAACTGTTACATCACATGTATATTTTACCTTAACTGTGCCTGAATGAATATATTCTCGGAAATAAATAGTTGTTTTGCTGAAACGTGATGTATTTTAATGTAAAATAGGATAAAATACATGACGAAAACAAAAGACTTTACCTAACCTTCCGATGTTCTAGAGAAGTTACTCGTTTTTTTAATAGTTTTTGGTTAAAATACTGTCATATTACAATGGTATTCTATTCATACTGTGCTTGATATAATGCATTCACGGAAATGTAATATTTTTGCTGAAATGACGTAGGTATTAGTGGAAAGTGGGATAAAATCGTGACGAAAACAATGACTTTCGCTTTTTTCGTTCAAAAGATGTTACCGTAATCGCTTTTCGATTGGTTTTCAGTTAAAAAACTGTTGTATTACAATAATATTCTATCCTAATTGACTTGAATAAATACTACGATACCATATTTCTGAATAATTTCATTAAAATTCGTCCAAATCATTTTCCTTGTCAGCGTCTGCAGCACCAAACAGCTTCTCCCAGTCCTCTCCTTGAACAGGGCTAGAGGCTACGTGTTTTTCGAATCGTTTTCAGTTAAAAAACTGTTACATCACACGTATATTTTACCTAAACTGCGCCTGAATGAATATATTCTTGGAAATAAATAGTAGTTTTGTGAAACGTGATGTATTTCAATGTAAAATAGGATAAAATACATGACGAAAACAAAAGACTTTACCTAAGCTTCCGATGTTCTTGAGATGTTATTCGTTTTTTTAGTAGTTTTCGGTTAAAATACTGTTATATTACAATGGTATTCTATTCATACTGTGCTTGATATAATACATTCACGGAACTGTAATATTTTGCTGAAATTACGTACGTATTACAGTGGAAAGTGGGATAAAATCGTGACGAAAACAATGACTTTGAAATATAATGCAATATTAACCCCTAAATCGGTTAATTCGGACAATCAGCTAAAACGGACACCCTTCCCCCCTATTAGTCCGAATTAACGAGGGTCGACTGTATAGTGAAAATAAATCCAAATACCACAAGTCTTAATATGCAACTGGCATCACTGCCAAAGATAATCTTTTATTGCTACAAAAATGGAAAATAGTTTATACTCATACATAGTCAAATGTGGTGTTTCATTGAAGATGATGTTTATTATCAAAACAAAACCAATCTATAGCAAAATTAAGGAAGATTATATTAGGTTAGGTTCAACAGTTTAATAATAATACTTTCCAGTTTGATATACCTGTAGATAATCATAAAACAAACTACCTGTATAAATGAACAACATCATTACTAACCTAATTTATTTCATGTAACTATAGATTGGTTTTGTTTTGATAAAAATACTTTAAATGAAACAGCAAATTCAACCATGTAAACAAATTTCTATTACACAGACACAAACATATATTTACAGCGTAAGTCTGTTTATCCAACATTAATCTATCTAATATTTCCTCCATACTTCCCAGTTGGATGTTTTTGGTGGTATCCCACCTTGGACATTGGTTAGTGAGAGCACCAGAGGCACTTCACTTCCACCTGCATCTTACACTGTTATTGTTTTGACAGTAGCATCCCTCACTCCTCTTGGCTGGTTCTTATATTGTTTTCTACTGTAATTTTGACAACAGTATCCATCCCTCCAATGTGTCATCTAATAAATCAATTATTGCATTCACAAGAAAACTGGCAAGTAACCCCAGAAACAGGAAGGGAGTAGTGTTTTAGCATTGAGCAGGTAATAAGCATTAAAAACACACTGAGAATGGCATAAGATTAGAATCAGTTAGTCTGTGTTAAATAAAATTCAGGTAACATGATACAATAACAGTGCAGGATTGTTCTGTATGCCTAAACGCAATTTTACATCTTTTTTTGGAACGAATACACACAACATTTATAGTACAGTACACAACATTTTGATTAAATATTGGTATACAGTATATAAACATTACCAATAGAATATATCATACAATATGTCTATCATCTAGGTATCAAAATGCAATGTAAGCTGATGTCAAGTTTCTCTTTGCTTATAAGTAGGATAAGTGATCCAAAAGTCTATGTACTAATTGTTAATAGGAAGAACAATTTGTTCATGAAACTAATTGGTGTTCACATATGGATAAATGAATGCAACATTGGAATTATATTGTTCAAACAAAATTAGTGAATGAAAAGATTAGACAGTTCTTGTTTCAATAAAGTACAATAAAAGCATCAAAGCGAGGTATTTCCTATTCACGTATTGTGGAGTGTGATAGCAGACAAAGATATTGTGCTTATTATCTATAAAAATGGTGAAAGCAAACATGAATGTACTGATTGCTTAGAAGAAATGTAAATGCAGGCCTCAAGGCATTTACTGATTCCCAGGCCAGGATCTGCAAATACTGTACAGGGGGTCCTCATTATCTGCGGTTAATTGGGACCAGAAAAATGCCTCTCATAACGAATCCACTTAAAAAGGGGAATTAATCCCATAAGAAATAATGGAAATAGGTCAAATTGAGACCATGACATTGTACACGACAATCAAAAAATATTTATATCTCTTAATAATCATTTACCTTAGAAACATGTGTTAAACATTTGATAACACATTATTTTAAGAAATTATTTAACTTTATAAATTATCTAGCATCCTTAAAGCTCATTGGGGTCGGTGTGTTGACCTTGCAGAAGGGAGAGTAAAATGTTGCCCTGTGGAGGTAGAAGGTCATGTAGCAGCAAGCTACCTTGTCAGTACCTCATGAAAACTGTATGGACTCCATCTTTAATGTCAAGACAAATCTGCCATCTTGCTTCAGTTACCAGTTGACCAACCATGTATCAGAGCTAGGTGGAGGGTATCTCACCCACCTGTCTATGGTCTCAGCTAGAATATATGGCTTCAGGATCGACCTTATATTTATAGCTTGATGCCATTCCTCAGGCAGCCCATTTATTGATAGCCAGCTACAACAATGGAAAGATAAATTCACTATCAATGTGCCTGTACTCATGCATAAATCTGGACTTCCTGATGAGGAATCTGAATGTACAGTATCTAACTAAGTGACCTAGGCCTAATCTCCCTTTGGCTAGTCCATTCTTAGTCCATTCTCCTACACACACTTAGCCATGCCCTGTAAGTTTACTTTTGCGCTCTCCTTCCTTCTTCTTTATTATATACACACTTTTATGCATGACTGAACCCTTTAAACATTCCTTCCCTTTTTGTTCTTCGACCATCTTCTTAAACAATCAAGCCAAGAGACAGAATACATATATTTTTACAGTTTTAAGTGCTGTTGCTGCATCTGTCTTAGAAACATTTAACAACCAAGGTGCTTACAGATGAGCATGTACATAGACACCATCTTCTAACCTAACTACAGTACTCAAAACAGCTTACTGTATACAATGATGGAAATAACCTGATGGTTTACACAAAGAAACAGTCTATTCTGTACACCATATAAATTTTGCAACAAGCAGAGATATGTGTAGTCTTACCCTTTCAATTCAGGAGCTTCTCCATCTGTCACTACATTAAGCCATCTGCAAGGAGGGAATTGAGTTTAAGAAGAAGCAAAATGGAGACAGAATTAATATAGTAACATAAAAAAGATTCACAGGACAATAAACCAAAAGCCTTATTTTGATTTACATGCATCCTGGGACTGAAGTGACTGTAGTACAGTAGTATATCACTAGATTCACTATGAAGATAAAATACACCATCATTAATCAAACAAACTTTAATTTGCACACATAAAATGAGAACTAAATCAAGAATAGTGGACAGTGTGTTGCATTATGTGTTTTCATACACAAGCATCTAACTTACTTATGGAATGCCAGCAAAACAGCACTTGACCTTGCCCAAAATGCTCGACACTTGCTACCATCATTCTCCTGGAGTTTGTTGTTGTTGAGGATGCTGCTCGTTATATTTGGTGAAGGTGCATTGAGCAAAGTGCGGCTGCAGGCATTCTTCTGGGTTTGTGAGGATGACAACGAATCTTCTAAGGTCAAGGGTGAATTAGAATCAGAGTTAGAATTGTTAAACTTTGTCGGGTATCTTCTGGTGAGAATTGGAGGACTGTAAACGCCACTTGATGCTAAAGGTTCCTTGGGTGGCTCCACCGTCATGTTGATGTTGTCTAGTGGGATTCTTCGCACAAAATCAGTTGTGAAGGTAACTGACTCCTTAATTAATGAACTTGACATAGACTGTCTCATGACAGAGCTGGAATATAAAAAACAAAACAAACTATCATCATCTATGTTCTTTCAATTCACCCAAACTCCTGAAATAATTCTGATTTATTATAGATAAACCTTAAAAAAAATTTACTACTACTCCCTGTCAACTATTTTTTCTACAACATCCTTCTAATCTTTACTTTATGTCAATACTGTATAAAGTCCTCATATATAAGTAAACCTCGATAAATAATGTCTCGTTCAGCAATATTCTGCTTTAATGATGGTTTTGAATTAAGACCACCTTACCATATAAAGTACAATAAAAAAATTCACTTTAATGATATCCATCGAATATCCATCAATATTCCCCTCATCGAGTAGCTCCACGATTATCGTTCAGCATTGTTGACTGTACGTACATTATATATACTCTGTATCATCGGTGTTTTGTTTTCTCTTCTAGTGAGAGGACAGCACAGCACTAAGATTAGATTGAACTGTGTTATGGTGACTGTGAAGTGATATTTTCTGCTTCCTTTTTTTCTTTTTCTGACTGTAAAGTGCTTCGCCTCTGTTGTTGTGAAAATGATGTGAGTGGTGTCGGTCGCTATCATTGTTTTTATGTTATCATTGTTCGCTCTGTTTTTGTGACAAGTGCTTTTGCTCTGTTTTTGTGACTGTGAAATGAGCAGTGTAACTTTGAAAATGTCTGGGAAGGCCAGGGCATCCAAGACAACTGTGTCTCTGAGGTGAAGCTTGACACTGTGAAGTGGCGTGAGACTCCTCAGAGGCTTTGTGGGGGTCAGGGTGCTGTCTCCACTCCACCTACAAAAGTCCCCTTAGCCTCGAAGGGGATATGTGATGATGACCAGGCTTATTCTTCATGATGTGGTGAGTGTTGTTTAATTGTTTTCTATTGATTTTTATAAATGTAAGCATTCTTTTTGTCGGTGATACATGTGTGTTTGGGGGACTGCTGAGAACGTATCCCATTGAACCCCTTGTCATAATGATCCCTATCTACAATACAGTGGTCCCTCGGTTAACGAGCACCTCAGTTAACGAGATTTCGGTTAACGAGTTACCTTCCATAAGATTCTTAACTTCGGTTAAAGAGCAATCCCTCAATTAACGAGTTTCTTACGAGCCGACCTCAACATGTTTTAGCTTGCATTTGGCGGTCCACCAGCTGTAGTATTAGTCCGCCAATACAGTAATCGGTTCTAGGGCTTAAATTCCTTACCCTTTTAGTAAATATCAAGAAGTTTATACTATTCAATAATTTTAAAAGTTTAATATTAAATTTTTTTAGTCATTTTAACAATTATTGAACATAATTGAAGGTAAGGTCACTAGTTTGTGGCACGCCATCCAGCCTGCCAACACAGCATACAGGCGTCAGTCTTTGTGTCTTTTCAATGGAGGTAACATCTTGCTTGAGACTCTCTTCAACTAAATGCTTTTTTTCTGTGTTTACAAGCAAATTATTGGTCATTTTGAAATTTATTTTACATATTGACAACATATAATGCAGTGCAGTGTTGATTTAAAGAAAATAATCTTGAATTACACCAAGAGAACTAAAATTTTATGGGTGAAATGGCCCCATGGGGTGACTTCTCTTCTCTACTCCCTTCTCCTCCACCCTCATTCTAATTCTCATCATCATCATCCAGAAGCCTTCTACATACACGCCTCAAAGTAAGTGTACTTTTCTACCTTTTCTGTTGAATTTAGGCAATTTTCAGTGAGCTGGAACCAATTACCCAAAACCCATTGAAACAATGGTTTCGGTTAACGAGTTTTTCGGTTAACGAGCAACCTTCTAGAACGGATTGTGCTCGTTAACCGAGGGACCACTGTATATCACTTAGTAATAGGTTTATCAGGAACCTAACCCCATTGTTTATTAAGGTTTACCTGTACACTTTTCAAAGACAGACAACAATCCTACATCAAAAGACATTCAAGTGTTGAAACCCCAAAACACAACTAAAAAAATTGACCAATCTTTCAAAGGTTAAAAACATTTACAATACTGTACACCCGCCAATACGAAAGATGTCCCATAAGGCCAATTATTTTATGAATCCAACATAGGTACAACTGGTTCGTAGTATTAATGTACGAGAACTAGTTTGCGTGGCGTAGCGGCGAGGCGGAGCAGTGGATGGGGAGTAATGCGTCACCCAGCCACGCGCCTTGAGGGAGTGTCAGTACCGTATATCTCGGCCTATAAGGCGTCGGGGTGCATAAGACGGCCCCCCCAAATTTCCATTTAAAAAGTAGCTTTTGAGCTCTATTCGCTGTATAAGACCAGTACCCCAAATGTGACACTTACCCACTGACTCAGTAGTCCTCTACCAACCATCCTTGGTTTTTTAAAATAAGGCCAATTCACTTCAAGTAATGTCATCAAATGTTACCCGCTGGTGTAGTGTAAACACTAGTGACGTCACTGAAGCGTCTGCTATTTACCGGTAACTGGAACTAATGTCGGTGTCGAGTAAAATTTTTCCATTTACTTGAAATGGATTTACCGATTTATTTGTTTATTTATTTATTTATAATATACTGTAACATATTAAACACACTGCAAGTATTTTCTTTAATTTATATGCTTGCTTCACACGAGACGATCGGTGGTGGGAGTGTTACCTCGTCTCGGTGGTGGGACTGTGTTCCCACTGTTTACCGTACTTTTTTTTAGTAAGTTCATTTTTGTTAGATTTTTTACTAATAGTGTTATTTTATGTGGATAAAAATGTTACAATGGACTTAAAACTATAAAAAATCATCTAAGCATGCTTGAAAACATACATATCGACACCAAGATCACCCAGATTGACCAACTACATCAATTTCTATAAGAAAAATCAACTTTTGAAGGTCAATATGGCGGTCACCTTGAAAAATGGTCGCCATCTTGAATTTTTAAATGGCCAATCAGGCAGACTTGACTAGTAACCATTAGAGAATTACCATGCCAAATTTGGTGCTTGTACCACCATTTTCATGATTCTCTTGAAAAATTGCATTTAGCTGCCCCACTAATGTCACCACTCCCATCTCAACATGACACTCGTATACTGAAATATTGTATTTCATACTACATATGACTTTACAAAAAGAAATGTCCACGTCTGGTTAAATAACTCTTGTAGATATAATACCAGTTGAATAAACGAAACTAAAAAACTGGAGATTGTAATTACAGTGAAGCCTTGACAACTCCATTATGAAGTTAGGGATTAGATGACGCCAAATACAATCACCTTAATGCACTTTAAGAGAGAGGAGTCACCGTGCCAGGGCTTAATATTATCCTGGACCCTAGAGGTTGATGACGTATTCAGTGTCGGGCAGAAATACATCGATGTACACAGCACATGATCCCAATCAACTCCAGTATAGGTGTTAATAATGTAGAGGTGACCAGGTGTGTTGCACGTTGGTAGTGTTGGATGGTGATGCAGGAAAGAGGTAGTGTGTTGAGGGTGGTGTGTGGTTATGACTCACTCCCACAACCCCCCCCACACCACTCACACATCCTCACAACTGTACCACAAAGCCCCCACACTACTCATACAGCATCCTCACAACACTACCACAACCCCCCCACACCACTCACACATCCTCACAACTGTACCACAAAGCCCCCACACTACTCATACAGCAGCCTCACAACACTACCACAACCCCCCCACACCACTCACACATCCTCACAACTGTACCACAAAGCCCCCACACTACTCATACAGCATCCTCACAACACTACCACAACCCCCCCACACCACTCACACATCCTCACAACACTACCACAACCCCCCCACACCACTCACACATCCTCACAACTGTACCACAAAGCCCCCACACTACTCATACCATCACACATCCTCACAACTGCCACAAAGCCCCCACACTACTCATACCGCATCCTCCTAACACTACCACTGCACAACCCCCCCACACCACTCACACATCCTCACAACTGAACCACAAAGCCCCCACACTACTCATACCGCATCCTCCTAACACTACCACTGCACAACCCCCCCACACCACTCACACATCCTCACAACTGAACCACAAAGTCCCCACACTACTCATACCGCATCCTCCTAACACTACCACTGCACAACCCCCCCACACCACTCACACATCCTCACTACCACAACCCCCACACCACTCACACATCCTCACAACTGAACCACAAAGCCCCCACACTACTCATACAGCATCCTCATAACACTACCACAACCCCCCCTACACCACTCACACATCCTCACACTACCACAACCTCCCACACCACTTACACATCCTCACAACTGTACCACAAAGCCCCCACACTACTCTTACAGCATCCTCACAACACTACCACAACCCCCCCCACCACATACACATCCTCACAACACTACCACAACCCCCCACACCACTCACACATCCTCACAACTGTACCACAAAGCCCCCACACTACTCATACCGCATCCTCCTAACACTACCACTGCACAACCCCCCCACACCACTCACACATCCTCACAACTGAACCACAAAGCCCCCACACTACTCATACCGCATCCTCCTAACACTACCACTGCCCCCCCACACCACCCACAAATCCTCACCTACCACAACCCCCACACCACTCACATCCTCTGCTGAACCACAAAGCCCCACACTACTCATACAGCATCCTCATAACACTACCACAACCCCCCCTACACCACTCACACATCCTCACACTACCACAACCTCCCACACCACTTACACATCCTCACAACTGTACCACAAAGCCCCCACACTACTCTTACAGCATCCTCACAACACTACCACAACCCCCCACACCACATACACATCCTCACAACACTACCACAACCCCCCACACCACTCACACATCCTCACAACACTACCATAATAAAATTAATTATTTCTAGTGTGGTCGACTTCCTACACAAAGACAGGCTATAAATAGCCATCTTATCTCAACCTCCTTCCTTCCCCCTACATCCCTCTGTTCTCAGAGAGGTCTTGGTAAATAAC